AGAGAGAGAGAGAGAGAGAGAAATAGTAAAAGCAGAGAAGTTTCTTGCCTTTAAGAAATTCCCAATGTAGATCAAGGAGAAAATTGAGGAGTTGGTGATATGGTTGCTAGTGGGAGGCTGGGTAGGGAAGGACATTCTAGACTTCTACCTACTGTCACTTGTCACCTTTATTTCTGTTCAACTCATTTGGACACTTTATATGTTGTCTTCTTTCCTCTCAACTAGTTTGAAAGTAAGAATTGTTTCTTAATTCATTTGATTCTTAACATAGGCAATTATTTAATACTTATGAAGAAGAAAGTTAATTTATCCAACAAATACTTATTGAGCATCTCCTATATATTAGGCACTGTGCAGGATCATGTGCAAAATGAACAAAACAAAAAGGTTCCCTGCCTTCATGAAGCTAATAATCCAGTAAAATCAGGAAACAATGACACAAATTAAGTGTATAATTAAAACTGATAAGGGCTATGAGAGAAAAGTATGATAGCACCATGTGAGTACAAAATAGGAGGACCTGACCAGGAAATAGGAAATCTCCCCTCAGAGAGTGGCTAAGAGCTGCAGTATGGGTAAGAATAGTCAGGCAAAAAGACTGCAGGCTGGATGCTGGGGATGTGGGGACTGATTAGGAAAGGAAGGGGAGAGAGGCTGGGGATATGGGCAGGAATCAGAGCTGGTGGGGATTTAAAAGGTATTGTTGAAGATGTAAGAGTGATGGCAGTAACTGAGAGGGTTGTAAGCAGAAAATGGCATGTTTTTATTTACATCTTGATAAAGATCCCTCTAGCTGCAAGCGGGGAGCTCTGGTGGCGTAGTGCCTAAGGCATTTGACTGCTAACCAGAAGGCTGGTGGTTCAAACTCACCAGCCACTCCTCAGAAGGAAGGTTGAGCAATCTACTTCCATAGTGATACTGCCTCAGAAATCCAAGGAGGGGTTGCTATGAGTCGGATCCAACTCGATGGCAGTGAGTTTAGTTTTTTGGGGGGTTTTAGCTGCAAGTGTAGAGAGTGGACTGGCCAGTGGCAAGAGTATCTGTAAGAAGACCAGTTAGGAGACCACTGTAAGTAAGAGAGGATGGTAGTTTGGATTAGTGGGCTACACAGAATAGTCAGAATGGATGAAAGGTTACATTGGCCAGACCTTTGGTGATCAATTGAATGTAGAGTTGGAAGTGAGAAAGTAGTCAAGAATGGGTCTTGTGTTTTCGGCTTGCAGAAATGGATGGCTATTCACTCAGCTATTCCCTAGATGGAAGATTGTAAGAGAGGACATGTCTTGTGGGTGCATGTCAGGAGCTCATTTTGGGACATGCTGAGTGTGAAGTGCTCTTGCTCATCCTGGTGAAGGTGCTATAAAATAAGCTGTACGTAGGCAGTAGAGTCCTAAAATAAGGTCTGGCAAGACTGATAAATGTGGGTGTGTGACTGAGACAATGCTAGGTGATTCCCAGTCCCACTTCACTTTCCTCTCCCTAGGAACACAGGAAGACCTCATCCTTCAGCCTTCTTTGCAGTTAAGTTGGAGCCATGTGACTATTCTAAATAAAGGGCTATAAGTGGGAGCACAAAATTAAGAATGGGGTTCTCTGTGCTCTCTTTTCCACTGTCATGGTGCTACCATGCCATGGTGAAGGCCATGTGTTGAAAGGGCAGAGCCACAAGATGGAAACATCCTGACTCCCTGGGTTGTCACTTAGAAGTGGCTGCCAAACCCAAAGAAGAATTTATGCAAGTGAGGAAAAAAGGTTGATGTGTTAGATCATTAGAATATGGGGTTGGTTTGTTACAGCAACATAGCCCATTCTATCCTAATACAGACAGGCACTGGGACATAGATAGTAAAATGAAGCCATGAGAAAGGATGAGTCTACCTCGGGAGAAAATAGGAACTGGTAAGAGAAAATGGTGTAGAATAAAGCCTTGAGGAACACCAATATTTAATGGCCACATGGAGAAGGATAAGTTCATTAAGAGGACAGAGAAAGAACAATTAGAAATGTGGAAGGCAGGAACACAAGAAAAATGTGGAATCACAAAATCCACAAGAATGTATTTCCAAAAGAAAGATGTAGTCACCAGTGTCAGATACTGATGAGAGGTCAAGGCACATGAGACCAATACTGTCCACAGAATTTAGCAATCCAAAAATCATTGGTGACTTTAGCAAGTACTCTGTTAATGAGAGAGAGAGAGAGGCAGGAGGCAAACTGGTGTGGGTTAAAGAGTGAGTGAAAAGTGAGGAAACAGAGACAGAGTTAGATACTATTTCATGAGAGAATGAGTGGCTTTTTTTATTTGCAAAATTCTTCTCTTTTGGAGGGAAAGCAGCTCTAGTCCAAGTAAATTGGATTCTTTCATACAAAGTAAACTTGAAAAGTACCTAAAAGCAAAACACACCTGTGTATATACTACTGGAATTGATAATACATATCATTCTGCATGACCTTGAGAGTCAAGCAAAATATCCTAGCTAACTGGTTCTCATTCACCAAAGGCTGGAATTGCATCTTTCTCTCTACCTGTTTTCCTTGTATTCATTCAAATGCAGAAGCGCCAACACAAAATCCAATCTCCTTCCTACCACCATGCTTCACAGCATGTGTCTTGTGGTAAAACACATTATCTTGAATTTGGGAACGTAAACCTCCAAATATCTGTGCATTCTTTACATTTTTCTTTGGGAAGCAACAGGGAAGGAGAAGAATGGGTTTCCTGCAACAATGCTAAACCTCTACGTGGATCACATTTGCCAACTCTTTCCAAAGCACCATCCATGTTTGCTGGGCAAGGAGGCATCAGTGGGCAGGAGAAGGGGAAGCCCCAGGCTGGAATCAAACCACTGCCACTGGCCAGCAGGCGATGGTAAGTCAATCATTTCTCTCCCTGAGCTTTAGTCAGCTTGTGGTAAAACAAGGATAGAAACAGGAAAGAGGTGCCTGCCTCACAAAGATGCTAGGAGGACTAAAGAGAAGGTGTGCATAAAAATGTTCCATAAACAGTAAAAAGCTGAACATAATTCAGGAATTATTTTGGCAAACATAACACACTGCATTAACATTGTTGTTCCCTTTTTTTCACAAGAGTTCATCTTTTAAAGATGTCTCATTTCTTTCTTGGCTTCCTTCATTTTTTCTTCATTCATTTATAGGGTCCCTGGGTGGTCCACAGAGCTAAATGTGCTTGGCTTCTAAATGAAAGATCAGAGGTTTGTGTCTACCCCAGAGGTGCCTTGGAAGAAAGGCCTAGTGATCTAATTCTGAAAAAACAGCCATTGAAAACCCTATGGAGCGTACTTCTACTCTGACACACTTGGTGTCACCATGAGATGGAGTCAACTCAATTCAGTGGGTAGTGGTGGTTTGGTGGTAGAATTCTCACCGTCCTTGTGAGAGACCCAGATTCGGTTCCAGGCCCATGCACCCACACTTCATGCACAGCCACCACCTGTCAGTGGAGGTTTTCAGGCTGCTATGATGATGAACAGGTTTCAGCAAAGCTTCTCAACTAAGATGGACTAGGAAGAAAGGCCTAGAGATCTACTTCTGAAAATCAGCCAATGAAAACTCTGTGTTCTGTTATGCAAAGAGTCACCATGAATCAGGGGCTGACTCTAGAGTAGCTAACAACAACAAAAACAATCATTTATTGAGCAATTATTAAGTGCTGGTTCAGGGGCAAGTAATTATTATGCCACTTGATGTATGTAAAAGTCAAAAGAGTCATATAGCTAATTATTTAATACTCAATGCAAAGATAAAACACAAACCTCCCCCCTTTCAGTTAGAAAGTTTAAAAACATCAGCTTTCTACTGAGTCTACTTTCTAAAAATACTTTCCTTGCTAACTTCTTAGCACTGTGTCTGTTCCAATCCTTTCTCTGAGATTCAACAACTAACAACAAAAAGACAAACAATCCCATTAAAAATTGAACAGAAGATATGAAAAGACATTTCATCAAAGAGGACATTCAGGTGGCTAACAGACACATGAAGAAATGTGATTATTAGCCATTATAGAGATGCAAATCAAAACAATGAGATACCATTTCACCCCAGCATTAATAGCAAAATTAAAAAGAAAAAAAATGCTGGTGAAGGTGTGGAAAGACTGAAACCCTAATACACTGCTGGTAGGACTGTAAAATGGTGTGACCACTGTGGAAAATGGTATGGCTTTTCTTTAAAAAAGTTGGAAATAGAAATACCACATGATCCAACAATCCACCACTAGTGATATATCCTAGAGAAATAAGACCATGACATAAACAGATATATGTACAACCACATTCATTGCAGAGTTATTCACAATAGCAAAAAGGTGGAAACAACCTGCATGCCCATCAACAGATGAATGGATAAACAAAGATACACACACATGATTGAATACTATGCAACATTAAAGAACAACTATGAATCTGTGAGCTATCTCATAACATGGATGAACCTAGAGGACACAGTGAGGCTGAGTGAAATTAGTCAATCACAAAAGGACAAATACTGTATGAGACCACTACTGTGAAAAGTCAAGGAAAGGTTTATACACAAAAAGGTTGAAGGTTACCAGGGGTGAAAGGGGAAGAAAGAGTAACTCATTAACTAGGGGGTTGTTGTTGTTGTTGTTATGTGCTGTCCAGTCGGAGGGTAGACACTTAACTTGGGTGAAGGGAAACACAGTAAAAGGGAGCTCAGCACAAAATGATCAAGGCTGAGGAAGACACTGGGAGGAGCCCAAGAGTTAAAGGCAACAAAGGTGAATACCATTACATACTACACACACAGTCCTGCAATAACAGTAATAACAATAGATAGACACACAAGCTGAACAGGTACGGGAAGGAGAATGGGACTACATCCATGAATATATATAGGTTTGAGGAAGGATATTTCTACATATGTATCTTTATGTGCTGCAAATGTATCTACAAACACAGTAGCACATATAGGGCCAAAGTTATCAAAACTGCTTAGCTATAACCAAACACCTTGAGTCACTAGGCCTGCAGGCTCAGGACTATAGCCTCAGGGGACACCAAGGTGTCATAGACCACAAAGACAATGTTCTACATCCTACTTTGGTGTATTGACCTACTGAGGTCTTAAAAGCTTGTGAGGGCCCATCTAAGGTGTAACCATTGGTCTCTTCCTGGCCAGAGCAAAGAAGAATAAAGAATATGAAAGATGCAAAGAAGTAAGTAGTCCAAAGGATTAATGGATTATGTAAACCCCAGCCTCAGGAACCCTGAAGCCAAAAGAACTAGATGGTGCCTGGCTACCACTGCTGACTGCTCTGATAGCTATCACAACAGGAGATTCTGGGTAGAATGGGAGAAAAAGGCAGAACAAAATTCAAAATCATAAGACCAGGCTTACTGGTCTTATAGAAACTGGTGGAACTGAGACTAGGGCCCTTAGACACTCTTCAAGCCTGGAACTGAAGTCATCCCTGTGGCTGAACTTCCAGCAAACAATAGACAGGCCTATACTCTTTATAATAATCAATTATACAGATCAAAAGGACAGCATTTGCCTAGGAATAAAGCTCATAAGGGCAGGAAGGGACAGGAAAGAAGGACAAAGGGAAATGGTAAGCAGGGAATAAATAGAAAGAGTGTTGTCACAAAACCAAATGTGTATGAATTGTTGAATGGAAATACAATTCACTCGGTAAACTTTCACCCAAATCACAATAAAAAGTTATTTAAAAAAAAAAAAAGTCTCAAGAGGAAAAATAATCTCTTTATAATTTCTGTCTATAGTACAATTGCTACTGCACTCTAGAACTTTCTCAATCTCCTTAATGACTAAGTCAGGAGGAAGAAAAAAAAACTTTAATTTAAATGCCTGTGGAAAGGGCCTTTAATGCAGACCTTAAGACTTGTAAGATGGAAAACAAAAATGGAAATATTCAAGACAGTTAAGTGTTCCCTGATGGTCTTCACTCCAGCTGCCTCCCTTACCTCAGGGCAGGGCTGTTCTGGCTGTGAATCAAATTGGGTTCCTGCTGTCTGGGATAAAGAATAATTGCCTTCAAAGAATTGTAAAAGCTCAATAAAAAGGAAAAATGTTCTATAGGTCATTCTTAAGTGACAAGACTCTCTTCAACACAAAAAATATGGAAACTGTCAGCATTTTGTAAAGATGTTTTCAGGACTACACATGTTTTCAGGAACATGTTGGCTTGAGGAGAACCCTATAGGATCTCAGATTATACATTACCTCCAGGAGTCTAGGTCAGGGGTGGGGTGGGGAGCTTCTGTTGGTTAGAATGTAGAATGATTTTATTATTTCTGGAATTGACCTCTTTGTTCCAGTAAGGATCATTCGCCTAGGCAGGAGGCAGAAGGTAAGCTCCTTGAGGGCTGGGATTTTCATGTGTTTGGCTCACTGCTAGGTCTCAAGTACACAAAACAGGGCCTGTTGCATAGTAGCCTCTCAATAAATGTAGACAAAATCACGGTCATTCCCAGGCAGATAGACTGTCAGATCTTCTCCTAAAAAGATGCCCTAGATAAATGTCTCCTTCCCTGTGCAAGCTTGGCTTTCAAAAAAGGCCAGATGAGACAGTACAAACATAGGTCAATGGTTAATTATGGGCACAAAGGCAGAGAACTGGGCTTCAAGCCTGAAGGAACTGAATGCTTGGAGTTACAATGGTGCTTATGAGAAAGGTCTGATCAGGTGGAAACTTCCCATGTTACATTCTGTTCCCTTATTTTTATAAATCAATTGGGAATTACCCTCATCCAATCCAATTACTGCCTTTCAGCCATCAGATGCAGCTGTGCAGATAATAAGTTTTCCTCATTGCTGCTCATCAGATGGTATCATTTTATCCGTGGCTGCTCAAGTGTCTTTGGTCTCCTAGGCCCCTGAGCAAACTTGTAAATGAATATAGTTTGATCACTATGAGGTCATGCTTTCTCCTTCCCAAATGAGCTGCCAATGCACAGGGGAAAGGCTGCATGCTGATCTGGGACAGTGAGAGCAGCTATCAGTTCAGACACAGGGCGAAGGAATGAGGGGAAAATGGGGAGGAGAATGGAAGAAACAGATTGTAACCCTCAAAGGCAGCTCTCCCATAATTGGATCAGGCTCAAACAAATGGTCCAAGAGCATTGAACCTCTACACAGAAGAAAGAAGATCAGAACATTGTCCAAATTTCCCTCTTTTAGGCTTTAGCCTTTAAAATCTAAGTCCCAAAGGCTTTGTTTATGTACTGCAGAGCCAAGACACAGAAACTGGACAAAGGGCCAAAATTCAGAGGACTGAGTTTCTAAAGAGGTCATGTGCTTCCATGGAACTCTGAGATGGCCCATTGGGAAGACCATTGAACTAAGGGCTGAAATTCTGAAATCTGGTCCCAGTTCTGTCATTCATTTATGGTGTGACTTAGCCAAAACACTTCTCTTTATAGGTCTCACTTTCCCTATTTGTGAAATAGCAATGATAAATCTCTCTCTTACTCTAAAGCTTTGGTGTGCATGTCATGCTTCTGAAAGTGTTTTGAAGAAGGTGAAATGGTACAAACATATAGGATGTTATTAGGTGATGATAAACTCATGAGCCTTCATAGTCACCAACCTTCATTTCACCAAGCCTACTCAATTCCAGGTATAAAGGATGAGGCTCTTTTCCTAGAGTGGATTGGGATTCCTCTAAAAACAGCAAAAGCCACCAAAGTTCCTCTCTTCCCTGAGTAAAGAAATGGAACTGCCAGGGGTTCCATGGGGCAGCCATGACCTGAGACACAAGATCCTGCACAGAGTCCCCTGGGGCTCAGCTTGACTCACGATCCAGCCGCCTCCATCAGTGTCCATGTCACAGTACACCTGCAGGGGTCGGCTGGCATCACCATGCAGGTAGATGGTGTACAGGCCACTGGCAACATTGCTGTTCTGCTGAACCTGACTGCAGTCTGAAGGGTGTGGAAAACGGGCACCAACTGTGAGCCAAACAGAGGGAGAGTGTCATTAGGGAAAAAGCAAAGAAGAAGGGAAGTGGGGCTTCTTCACTATTTTGTTTACAAAGTATTCATAACCCCCTACTACTTTGCTTCTTCCAACTCTTCCTGCATATCACATATTCGTCACTCATCTGCTCTTAACAATCCCTCCAAATTACCAGAACTTCCTCCCCCAGCCCAACTCCTCCCAAAAATTACACTCCATTTTGTTCCCCTCTTTAGATATCTTTTGAACCCATAACCCCATTTCCATTTCCCTATGCCTAGAGGAATTCATAACTCTATACCCACTTGCTCCTCCTTCAACACCTCTTCTGGCCTCTCCAATGCTCAACCCCATTGCATTCTTGTTCCATATTACCTGTGGACAGCGTGGTGGATACACTTCTGCTCCGGCGATCACCTTTAAAGGCAACTAGGGAAACAGGGTAGGTGACACCTTGCTGAAGGCCTTGTGACTCAAACCTCTGGTCCCATGGTCCAAGCTGTACTTCCTACCAAACAAAGGACATAGCCGACTGTCAGTCACTCATCTTATCATCCCCTAACTCCTTCAGTGTCAGTAACTTTCCTTGTACACTGATGACAGTATGCTAATGGCAGAGCTCTCGGAAGGAGTAGTGATTTATTTCTTTGATGGTTCAGCAGCAGCCTAGAATGGACCCCAGCCCCTTCTCTGCAAGGCTAACCCAAGGAGATTCAGCACTGATGTAAGTACTACCTGGGAATCCCCAGCAGCAGGCATTGCCCCTGTGGGAGCACTTCCCAGGAGGTCTCCACCATTCTGGGTACAGTCTGGGGACTGACTCTAGGGCACTGACTCCAGCCACCACTGGCAGCACCAAAGAAAATGCCAAACTGAGCAGGAGTTACTAGAGAGAGGTGAAACTGGCCATTGATCATGAGGCAGGGAAATAGGTGATTTTTCAATAAACTTTCCTCTGAATCTCTGTTAATTCCTCTATAAACAAAGGATTGAACAGTATTCTATTGTACATATGTGCCACATTTTGTTTATCCATTCATCTGCTGATGAACATTTAGGTCCTAGCCAGGCTATGTAAGCATGAATTGAGATAATAAACAAATTAAAGCCCCCTTCCCTTTTTCCTTCCTCCCTTCTTTCTATTTTGCCAAGAACAGAAAATAATAATTTTCTATAAGGACAAGTTTGGAAAATTTGTAGACCTTCAGATTCCATGTGAGAGTACAACCCTTGAAATAAAGGTCACTCAATTCATACAGTAAATATTTATTGAGCACCTACCATGTGCCAGGCATTTTTCTAAACAATTTAAATATAGCAAGAAACAAAACAGACAAAATTTCCTTGCCCTCATAGAGCTTACAATGTACTAGGGAAGTCCAACCATAAACAAAATAATACTGAGCAGATTATACCAGCAAATATGAAATGGTCAACTAGGGGAAGGCACAATGCTTAGCCCTATAAAATGAGACTGCAGTGTTTACAAAGACTATGTTTGGCACTTTCCCTTGCAAAAAGTGGGTGATCAATAAGGATCAAGTAGGTGGATGGATCAGCAGATTGCCACAAGACCAGCAATAATAAATACCATCATGACATTGTTCGATAATGACTTGGTGTTAGCCTAAGTCAGTTGCTTCCCACAGAAGCTGCCCACAGAAGCTGAGTATAAACACAAGAGGTAAGACAAGGAATACTCCTACCTTAATAGTGCCATCTGGGAACTGGTAGGTCAGAATGTAGCCATCAATCTGAGCAGAAGGGGGTGTCCAGGTCAATATCCCACCAGACTGTGTTATACCGGATGGATGAAAGTTTTTGGGAGGGTCTATATCTGTGTATTTAAAGTCAAGTGATTAATATTACTAAGACGCAACAGAGGCAAGATCATTTCTGAGATGTTACTTTATATTTTCTCCCTCCACTTTCTCTCCTTTTTTTTTTCTTCCTTCAAACAGGCTTTGTTCTTCTTTGCCAAAGGACTTTTTTTCCCAAAAGTGGAGACTCATTGAGAACAACAGAATTAAGGAGTAGGGAGTTAGGGGGTTCCAAAGGAAGGGAATATGTGCCCCCACTTCCTCAACAGATCCCCCACAGAGGGTGGGTATGGGTAGCAGACTCTTGGAGATGGCAGTGGTGTGGAAGGAAGAGAATCACAGATCTGAAAGGGCCCTGCACATGGACACTAGGGCATCTCAGTAAACACTTGTCTAGAAAGATGTCCTCAATACCAGATGAGACCCCCAGTGTTTGGCACTAGGAAACACCCCAAGTCTTTACATACAGTCACAGGGAAGGAATATAATCCTAAATTTACTGACGTTTCCCCTCCACAGAGTGGTGACACTAATAGGGTATGAAACACAACATTATATTTTTTACGTATCTAATAGTGTGGCCTGCTATATAAAGAATTGGAGGAGGAGGGGAAGGGGATTCATAAAGGAGGAAAAAAAGGAAGGGGAAGAAGAGATGAAGAGAAATTGGAGAGCTTTTCATCTGATTCCTGTCGTACTTCCCTACCCAGACACCAGAAGGTGTGCAGTGGCATATGTGCAGGTCTTTTAGTACACGAAAACTAAAGCTCAGCCACAATGTTAGTCAGCTAATAATATCTTGGTCAGTCGGCTCCTTTTTTGTTGATTTTTATCAACCAAATAAGATATGAATGGAAATTTCCATTTTGAAAAAACATCATAGAAGGTGATTTTAATTTAGAAGTTTCCAAAAAAGATGTCTTCAGGCTATTTTCTACTCAGTAGCATTTCAGCTAAGAGCTGAATTGCAGTATTTTAATAGAAATCAGGCAGCATTTGTTTTGAATTAGAATGTTTTGGCAAATTTTGAATGTCTATAATATCAGCTTGGTTTGACTTTTTAAAGTGTAACATCTGCACTGGATTTTATTCTATCACATGGAAAAAACAAATCTCTTGCTTCCAAAAATCAACAAAACCATAACTATTTAAACATTTTAACCTGGCTTCTGCCACCTCTTTGCCCACTCAGCCCCTGATTATGGACTTGAGATGTCTGCCATAGTTATTCCCACATATCTACAAAGTAAAAAGATGATAATCTTATTATTCTTATCTTTAAAAAGGGAGAAAAGGAAACAAAGAGAAGATAAAGGAAGGCGGGAAGAAGAAGAGAACAAGGGAGAGAGGAAAAGAGTGACAAGGAAGGGGAGGAGGACACTGGTTACTGGTTGCCTCCTGAGAGGAGCACAGGGGACTAGGGACTCTGGAACAGAGAAACAAAATAAGCTTCTTTTCTTTTTACACCTCTTTCCTTAGTTTGAATTGTTTCACTGGAAGTGTGTATTACTTTCTTAATTAAAAATCATATTGTTAATTATAACTAATAAAAATAATTTTAAAAATTCAAGGCCCTCCCTCAACTCCAGTAGCCATACATGACACACTTAGCCGCAGAGGCGTGGACAGACTTGCCCAGACTGCCTGAAGAGGCCCATGGACTCTAGGTGGGCAGATGCTCTCCTCCAGGTCCCTCTGAGGCCTGAGCTCCAGGATACTTAGCCAATACCAGAGGTCTTATCTCTCTCTCTTTTTTATTTTTTTCTCTCTTTCTCTCTCTTTTACACACACACACACACACACACACAACATGCAGCCCAGGCACCTTTAATCATCAACTGGAGATAGACAGTGAGTGGAGAAAAATGGTCCACAATTACCCCCACTATGGAGGATGGAAACAGAAGAGACTCCTTTCCTCTCTCTCCTCTGACTGGAGCTGAGACCAACCAGGTTCTGGGATCAAGGCAGAGAGCCTGGGGGCTGGGCTGGGTAGAGGAGTTGGTGAGGGAAGCCACCTTGTACCACCATCTTGAGGAGTCTCACAGTCTTACTTTCACACAGCTTCATCTACATTGTTTTCTTCCTAGTCTGAACAACTGTTATGTCAACATATACCTCAAAAAGTAAAAAATGGACCCTCTTGGAGAATGATCTGAGGTGAAACAACTGCTTCTCTGTGTTCCCCTCCTACCCCTCTCTCCTGATGTGTGTAAAGGGTTCCTTGTCCTTATCCATTACAGTAGTACCTGTTAGTGCCCTGGTATCCACTTTCTTGCTCTCCTGGCTCCCCTTCTGGGCCCACACGTGCACCGTATACTCCATTCCTGGCCTCAGGCCCGTCAGCTCCGTACTGCTCTGATCCTTCCCCACTGGGACCTCCTTGGTCTCTCCATCAGCAGAGGTGTAGTGCACCACATACCTGTCAATGACGGCCTGCACTGGATCCCAGGAGACAGTGGCCATGTTCTCTGTCACCCGGTCTATCACCAGGTTTTTGGGGCTGTCAATTTCTTTTTCAAAAGATTAAGAAAAGGCTGAACGTTAGAACCAAGGGAAAACACCACCTCACTCCACCACCCCACCACCAGGAGCTCTCCCCTCTGGTTATCTTCAACAATACAATTCCATTGCAAGCAGAATGGTTCTCATTTTTCAGGGAAACAAACCACTGGGTATTAAAACTGGAAGGAATCAGATCTTCTCCAAGTTTACCAGTATGGAAATTTTCTGTCCTTAAAGTTCCCTCAAGAATAACAATAAAAGTCTCCTGAGCAACAAGATAATCCACCAAAATTTTCTGTTGAAACAACTTCCTCTATGGTCTCTATAGTATCTAATTATTTTATCTCACAGAATTTGAGGGCTAAAAAGTCAGATCTTCTAATCTTCTTATTTTATAACTGAAGGAAAATTAAGGACCAGAGAAATGAAGACACTTGTCCAAAGTCTTACTGTTTTCTTCTATTAAAACCAAGACTCTCTGTGCTCTAAATTTGACCCTTCCCACTTTTTCAAGGATTCTGCTCCTTTTTGTTTTTCCCTCTCTTTCTAGAATCATCAGTCTCTCCCCTTCCACAATCCATCCCAAAGACATGAGCTGTAGGATCTCCATTCCACCCCAGATTTATTTCTCTGCCTCTCCATTACCTAAGAGACTTCTCAAGAGAATTGTCTGCATATCTTAAGTTCACTTCGTCATCTCCCACTCACTCCTCAAATCAATCAAGTTTGGCTTCTTTCTACACCACACAAGGTAAGCGGGAGAGAGACCACAGGCAAGAAGTGGCAACCAGGGCCAACAGCCGGATCAGGTAAGTGGGAGAGAGACCCCAGGCAGGAAGCTAAGGGATTCAAACTTGTCTGTCCATTTGTTGTACTGTAGTGTCTTGTGTGTTGCTGTGAGGCTGGAGGCTGTGCCATAGGTGTTTCAAACACCAGCAGGGCTGCCCATGGTGGACAGATTTCAGTGGAGCTTCCAGATTGAGACAGACTTGGAAGAAGGAAGAGGTTGTCCACTTCTCAAAGAATTGGCCAGTGAAAACCTTATGAATAGCAGTGAAACACTGTTCGATACATTGCTGGACAACTTTATGAGCAGCCATAAATCATTGTCCAATACAGTGCTGGAAGATGAGCCCTTCAGGCCGGAAGGCACACAAGATATGACTGGGAAAGAGCTGCCTCATCAGTATAAAGCCAACCTTAATGATATGGATAAAGTAGAGCTTTCAGGACCTCCATTTGCTGATGTAGCACAACTCAAAATGAGAATAAAAAGCTGCAAATGTCCACTAATAATTAGAACATGGAATGTATGAAGTATGAATCTAGGAAAATTGGAAGTTGTCAAAAATAAAATAGAACACATAAAGATTGATATCCTAGGCATTAGTGAAGTGAAATGGACCGGCTTTGGCCATTTTGAATCAGAAAACCTTATGATCTACTATGCCAGGAATGACAAATTGAAGAAGAATGGCATGGCATTCATCCTCACAAAGAATGTTTCAAGATCTATCATGAAGTACAAAGCTGTCAGTGATAGGATAATACCTATATGCCTACAAGGAAGGCCAGTTAATACTACTATTATTCAAATTTATGCACCAACCATCAAAGCCAAAGATAAGGAAATTGAAGATTTTTACCAAGTTATGCAGTCTGAAATTGACCAAACATGCATTAAGATGTGCTGATTATCACTGATGACTGGAATGCAAAAATTGTAAACAAAGAAGAATCACCAGTAGTTGCAAAATTTGGCCTTGGTGGTAGAAATGATGCTGCAGATCACATGAGAATTCTGCAAAACCAATGATTTATTTACTGAAAATACCTTTTTTCAGCAACACAAACAGCAGTCATACAGGTGGGCTTCACCAGATGGAGTACACAGGAACCAGATCAACTACATCTGTGGCAAGAGGCAATGGAAAAGCTCACTATCTTCAGCCAAAAGAAGGCCAGGAGCTGATTGTGGAACAGACCATCAACTGCTCATATGCAAGTTCAACTTGAAGTTGAAGACAATTAAAACAAGTTCACAAGAGCCAAAATATGACCTTGAATATATCCCTCTTGGATTTGGAGAATGTCTAAAGAACAGATTTGATGCATTGAACACCAATGACCAAAAACCAGAAGAACTGTGGGATGACATCAAGAACATCATCCATGAAGAATGCAAAAGGTCATTAAAAAGACAGGAAAGGAAAAAAAGACCAAAATGGATGTCAGAAGAGACTCTGAAACTTGCCCTTGAATGAAGAGTGACTAAAGCAAATAGAAGAAATGACAAGATAAAAGAGCTCAACAGCAGATTTCAAAAGCCAGCTCCAGAAGACAAAGTCAATTATTATAATGAAATGTGCAAAGACCTGGAGTTAGAAAACCAAAAGGGAAAAACACACTCAGCATTTCTCAAGCTGAAAGAACTGAAGAAAAAATTTAAGTCTCAAGTTGCAATATTGAAGGATTCTATGGGCAAAATATTGACTGATGCAGGAAACATCAAAAGAAGATGGAAGGAATACACAGAGTCATTGTACCAAAAACAATTGGTAGATGTTCATCCATATCAGGAGGTGGCATATGATCAAGAAGCAATGATATTGAAGGAAAAAGTTGAAGCTGCACTGAAGGAAGTGGTAAAAAATAAGGCTCCAGGAACTGATGGGATACCCACTAAGATGTTTTAACAAGTGGATGCTGCATTGGAGGCACTCACTCAGCTATGCCAGGAGATTTGGAAGACAGCTACCTGACCAACTGGCTGGAAGAGATCCATATTTGTACCCATTCCAAAGAAAGGTGATCCCACAGAATGTGGAAATTATCAAACAATATCATTAATATCACATGCAAGTAAAATCTTACTGAAGATAATTCAAAAACTGTTGCTGCAGTATATTGACAGAGAACTTCCAGAAATGCAAGCTGGATTCAGAAGAGGATGTGGAACCAGGGATATCATTGCTGATGTCAGATGGATCTTAGCTCAAAGCAAAGAATACCAGAAAGATGTTTACTATGCAAAAGCATTTGATTGTGTGGATCATAACAATTGTGGATAACATTGAGAAGAATGGGAATTCCAGAACACTTAATTGTACTCATGAGGAACCTGTACATAGAAAAGGAAGCTGTTGTTCAAACAGAACAAGGGAACACTGCATGGTTTAAAATCAAGAAGGGAGTGTGTCAGGGTTGTATCCTTTCACCACATGTATTCAATTTCTATGATGAGCAGATAATCTGAGAAGCTCAACTATATGAAGATGAACATGGCATTGGGATTGGAGGAAAAATCATTAACAACCTGCGATACAGTGATGACACAACTTTGCTTGCTGAGAGTGAGGATGACATGAAATAATTACTGATGAAGACTGCAGACTACAGTCTGCAGTATGGATTATACCTCAACATAAAACAAAAATCCTCACAACTGGACCAATAAGCAGCATCACGATAAATGAAGAAAAGATTGAAGTTGTCAAAGATTTCTTATTACTTGGTTCTACAATCAATGCCAATGGAAGCAGCAGTCAAGATATCAGACAATGTATAGCACTGGGCAAATTGGCTGCAAAAGACTTCTTTTGGGTGCTGAAGAGCAAAGATGTCTCCTTGAGGACTAAGGTGCCCCTGACACAAGGCAGGGTATTTTCAATCAGCTCATATGCATGTGAGAGATGGACAATGAATAAGGAAGACTAAAGAAGAGTCAATACTTTTGAGTTGTGATGCTGGAGAAGAATGCTGAAAATACCATGGACTGCTAAAAGAACTAACAAATCTGTCCTGAAAGAAGTGCAGCCAGAATGTTCCCTGGAAGCGAGAATGGCCAGACTTCGCCTCACCTGCCTTGGTCATGTTGTAAGAAGAGACCATTCCCTGGAGAAGGATATCATGCTTGGTAAAGTGGAAGCTCAACGAAAGAGGAGAAGGCTTTCAACAAGATGGATTGACACAGTGGCTACAATGATGGGCTCATGTACAGCCTGGATTGTGGAGCTGGCACGGAACCAGGCAGTGTTTTGTTCTGCTGTACATAGGGTCGCTGTGAGTCAAAGACAACTCAATGGCACCTAACAACAACTACACCACATAACTTAAACTGCTAGCTTAGGTCACTAACAACTTCCATGTTGCCAAATCCAATGGACATTTGTCATCCTCATCTTACTCAACTTTTTGGTAGCTTTTTGCCACTCTTTCTTTTTTTGAAACACTCTCAGCTCTTGTCTTCATGACTACATGGTTTTCCTCCTAACTCACTGGCTCCTTCTCCTCAGTCTCCTTTGTAGGCAATCTATAAATGTTGGAGCATCCAAGACTCCCTGTTTCTCTCTCTCTTCTTCCATGTCTCTTTTAGGTGATTTCAACCATTTCTATGACTTTAATTACCAACTGTTTGTTCATTGCTCCCAAATTTGTATAGATTCTGAGCCCCTAACTTGTATGTATATATCCACCACAGTGTCTGACATATATTAGCCATTCAATAAATATTTGTGGAATCAATAAGCAAATTATTCAATTAACCAATGAATCTCACAAATCCTCAAGCTTAAACATCTAAACGTCCTATTCACCAAACCTACCTACTTACCGTCTTACCAAACCTATCTCCCTCAGTCTACCCTCTCAGAAAATAGTGAAATGGTGTCAACCCTCTTCATGCAGATCAAACACAAGAGTCACACCTGATTTCTCCCTACCCTATATCTAATCTGTCAACAGTTATTATTGTCAATTCATCCTCCAAAATTGATACCCAGGCACTCCCTTTTCTCTAGTCCTGCTGGCATCACAATTGTCCACATCATCATCATGTCTCATCCAGACTTTTACAACAGCATCTGCACAAGTCTTCCCACTTCTACCTTTATCATCTCTTTATTCTCCTCATTGTGGCCTGAGTAATCTTTTTAAAATGAATACTAGATTATTTCATTCTTCTCCTAACATAACCCCTTTCCTTTTTCAGATACCACATGATACTGTA